CTACAGGTTACTTACCGGATTTTAATACGGTCTTGTTATTGCACGTACGCTGGACCTACGGGATCTCGTCAATATCGAAGTTCCTGAGTTGGAAGAATAATCATACCATCATGTACATGTGACTTTCACTCTCGGAAGCAGATTCCAAAACCTTTCCTGCGGTCAATGTACAAAGACTAACTCAGAGGACTATTACTGCATTATATAAGCTAACTGCAACGTATGCATAGATTCTCAAGATGTTTCGTAAAGGCTGTTTGCCAGATGATGGGCGATACAATTTTAAGACCGTTAACGCCTATATATATTTAGTCAGCCAATTGTTTCCTAAATGGGGCGTGTGGAATGCGCCTACACGCGTTTAATTTATTCAAAATACTCTCACAGCTTCGGCAGTTTAAATTTCATCGTTTTGGCAAGACCGATATTCAGTTCGTTTTAGTTTACTTGTAAACACAACTGCAGTATACATTACAGTTTATGTAGCCATTTCCAGGGTCGTCACAAATGTAAGTATCATTTTTTTTAATCGCACGCTAAGCTAAGGTATCGCTCTACCGCAAGGTTAAATGCGTGGTGTCGGCATGGAATCTGCTGTGTTGGCAGTTATAGCAATATTACGAAAGAAAAAAAAAGGAATTTCAGAGCTTAAACGAAAAGCTCAAAATCGTTTTACCATTTATTCATCACTTACTATGGTATTATGATCAGTAAAACAGTTTAAAGGCTTTCCTAGTTCTTATGAAAAATTTTTGTATCAATTTTTTTAATATAACTCTTTAAAACTAAATTAGTGAGCAGCACTCTGCGAACATTAGTTGTAAAACCTCTTTATTCTCCGACACGTTTCGTCTAACTTTCGTAGACTTCTTCAGGGAGTTTCAGCTACAGCAGTGACCCTAAAATGTTTTTCTCACCTCGCCCAAAAATTTTTCAATTTTTTCACAACTTCGCCTGTTCCTGTTCGCATATCCGGCCGAGCCTTTATGGTCATTGGCCCCTGTATATCCGCTACAATTTGCTTATAAATACAAGCGTTTACTGTTAACTCCCTGAAGAAGTCTACGACAGTTTGACGAAATGCGTCGGAGAATTAAGAAGTTTTATAACTACTGTTCGCGGAGTGCTGCTAACTAGTTTAGTTTAAAAAAAGCTTTCCTAATTATTATGATGGCAACCACTGTGTTCACCAGGCAACCAAATCTCCAATACTTATAGATAAGCAGCGTAAAGATGAAGAGGTTTATAAAACATAAGTCTGGTGATAGAGGACTTCGAAAACAGAACTAGCGCAAAAGAATGTGAAATAACACGCTCATAAGTTCTTAGAAACGATAAAATTCAAGTTATCAATTTAATCTGGTCATGAATAATTAAGTTGCAAAAACTTTCTCATCAGCTCTTTCCTTCCTTTTGTTGGGTGTTTCGGACTGGTTTTTCCATTCTGTCGATATGACTTTCTGTTTTTTTTGTGACATCTTAATCCGTTCGAAATACCATTAGTTTTTGTTTATTGATAACCTATGCTTGACGATAATTTACGCAACCCCGAATATTCTCGAAGTCTTTGAAAGAAAAAAGTAAAACACATTTGAAAGAAGGGGAATCCCCCATTTAATTTCTCTTATCTATCAGCCCACTTTTCTGGATAAGGCTATTTAAAGACCAAAGATCGACCTCCTCTTAACACGTCAAAATAAAGGGACAATCGAAGCAATTTAAGGGGCTTGTCGCACTAAAAATGATGCAATATTCAAAAGTGAGAAGGCCCTTGGATGTAACGACTTCAGAGGCCAAACGATTCAATCATTTTTCCCACAGCTGGCCAAAAAGATCCAGTCACAAAGAAATTATGATTCAGTCATAATGGACTCGCTGATTCTCTAATTTATTTGCGTTACGCGTGGTCGAGGGAATCAAGAGGTGTTGGCAGTTCAAAAGAAAGAACCTACTTAATTTATTTTAAAAACCAGTTACGCTTTTGGAGTTTAAATGATCTCTTAAACCTGCTTTTCATAGGCGTGGAAGCACAGGCGTGAGGTAATTACACCGGGGGAAAACGAACGTCGACAAGCACGGATACAAGCACAACGAAAAGGAAACATTTTGATCTTTGCGTTTGTGTTTATGCTTGCATGCGTCAAGCCTTTTTCACGATGAACTAAATGCTGTGAGCTTGCGTTTGTGCCTGGGTTGCTAAAGAACTGACCAGGCTAAGACTTCTCAACGAAAAGTAATGATTCTCTCAACCGGGAGCTTGAGATCAATAATGTTTCGGAGGTTTTCACTTCCCGAGATCAATACGTAAATTAATGATAAGTCTTGCTAAAAACTGATGACATGTTATGCAGAGGAAAGGAAGCCGACATCCGTGTTGGGAATCATGTAGCTAGGGCGGCTAGGGCGGCGAGACAAAATCCGGTTTCAAGTCACGCCTAAAAGGAGTTATCAACAAAAGAATCTTAAATTTAGCGCCACAACGATGGGAACCCGCCAACATTCTATTACTAAAATCACTGACGGAAGAAAAGTAACTCCTCAAGTTTCCGTAGCGCTTAAGTCTTTATAAACGGATAGAAAAAACAATTTCTCGATATCTCGGTGTAACTGATAAATTTGGTATACCAGCAGTGTCATGGTTGACGATGCTATGGTATTTGTCTGCCTTGTCAGAGTGGCTACATGTCAAATAAATAAAGAAAAAAGCGAAAAATATTCAAGAGTCTTGCTGTCTTTCATCGGCAATAATTTTTGTAACCTCAGCTGGCAGGAAGTGAAATATAGTAGACAATTTTGAAATAGAAATTCATGTAACTCTAAATTAGAAAGTTTAAGCTTAAAATAACTCATGTTTGGGCTCATGTTCTGTTCAAGCCTGTTAACATTATGTTCAAAAGTGACGAATAACAGAGAGAACGAAACAGTTATGGCAAAAGACTTTTTATGACAATTGTCACAAGGCGAAGAAAAAATTGGCAGGTGCTTAAACCAAGATAACTCCCAAAATTATCTTGGGTTCGAGTTTGTTATCTCCACTTGTATAAAGCAGTATTGCTATAGAACTCGCCTTTGTGAAGCTGAACACTCGAGGGCAGGAGATGTTTGACGCATAGAAAGGAATGAACCACATACTTTCTAAAGGATATGCACTTCTCTCTGGATCCTTCTCGAATTCGCTTCCATTTTCGCAAAACATACACGCAAAGATCAGAATGGATGGATTATGGCGACATCTACTATTCCCATCGAGTGAAGCAGCCCAAAAATAAGTGGATCTTAAGTGAGTGACACAAATGATACATCATCCATACAAATTTGGTTCAAAGATCCGTCTGAAACTAATCATCATACATTTTTCACGACTCTTTGATCAAGGGAAAGCTCTAATCCTTTTAAACAACTGTCACCCTTTTTACAAAAACAATTTTAAAAGAAATGCATAGGTAACAGACTGTCTAAGACAGTGATTTTGGTTAACTAAGATTTTCCAAAATGAATTCCGGAACCATGTAGGAAATAATTTTGTGATAGATACCTTAATCTTCACGATTTACCCGCTCAGATTCAGTGCATGGGAGCTTCTTCAAAATCATCCAGACACAATTTGTCGTTTTCTTCGAAGCCACTACACTTCCCAGAAATTTAAAGGAAGTGACGTAATGTTTAGTAGCTCGCATTGTCAGGATTAAGGTAACTATCACAATGTTTTTTCCTTTTGTGATTCATGAATCTTGTCTTAACCAAGGTAGTGTGTTATGTATGCACGTATAATCTTTAAAGACATAAAGCAAGCCGTCGCCGAAGACATAGCTGTCGGACGCCATCCATAATTTATGCGGTTCCCGTTTAATTCTCAGAAATATGGAGGAAGTGGTTTCGTATTTTGATGTAAATACTATGGCCACAAAGCAAGCGGAATGATGATAAATTACCCAAATATGACCATAACACATTTGACTTATTCTCTTCCAATCACACCCCACATTCTCCTCGTGCGCCCTGAAAAAACAGCATCTAGGTCCGAGTTTAGTCTGTAGCCAGGGTATGCAAGCTTGAGTCTTAAGCGCCATAATATGGAATTCTGAACCAGTAACGAGTTTTTAAAAATGAGTAAGAGGTTCTTGAGAGCCTGACACTGTTTCACGAGCTGAATCGCTTTAAAAAAAATAGGCACAGTAAATCGTTCCTTGAGCCAGAAATATCCAAGGTGGTTTGATGTAAGCCTATGGAAGTAGATAGAGCTAGATCGGTGAAGAAATGTACCAGAGTAATCGAGTACCTTTGGCGCCAAAATATGATATTTGTTCGCGGACATAATCTACTCCGAGATGCAAACAGTTTTCAAAACCAAAGCTCGAGGAAAACTGCGAGCTTCGAGGAACAGAATACAGTGGTACCAAAGATCCATAGACATAGTGCATCATGTCACATACCGTATTCCCTTGAATAACGGCTTATTTCCTAAAAGCGCAGCATTTGAAATTTCGGCACGACGAAAGTTTGGAGACCTCATTTTGACGTTAAAATAGTGTTGTTGTCACGGAAAACTGGGTCCGTTTCCATTGGCAAGAGGCTTTTACATTTTACTTTTGGTGACCCACAGCTCTTGATATTCGGTTACCTTTCGAAACGAGGAAGGTTGCCCGTGACAACAGCGTTATTTTATGGTCAAATTCCCATCACCAGACTTCTTTCGTGTCTCCCTCAATTGATAATCGTAGTAATGAGGGCCACCCCAGAATATGCACCACCGCCAAAATTTTATATCTTAGGAGAACTAGAAGCAGAAGAAGAGGCGTGCCCTTCCATGTTGGAGACATTAGACCCTCAGGTTAAGAGGGGATGCTAAGATTAAAGTTAAGTAAATATTTCACCGGTAACACACTTGAAAGGTGCGGGTAAAAACGGTTCCTCACAATCAATAGGTACTTCGTTAGTGTCTGTCAAATGTTCAAACAGACAGGAAATGTTCAATTTACTAAAAACTTTCTGAGACAGGGAAAAAATCATGTATAATACGACTTGTGACTTAACTTCTTTGCGAAACCATACAATGTTTGCGTAGCGATGATTTGCATAGCTACTTGAAGTTTGAAAGCGCAAGGTTACATCAGAATGAAATAACAAACTACCTACATAACTATGGAAAATGTAAAACCTAAGAAAACTAAATACCTTCTATTTATGAAGGTTACCAGTTTATAATAAAATAAGCTTAGTAAGTAAATTTAGTCTCTAGAAATGCATCAATATTACTCGTTACTAACTTAATAGACTACCGAAATTTAAAGAGCAAAATCGCTTTTTCTTCCCTTCATTTTTGTCACACGTCTCCCGAAGGCAAAGAAGATGAAATTGAAACTCTTACAATTCCTTCCTATCCTGGTGTAACTATATATGAAAAAAAGGTTCTAGAGGAGCTTTATTTTACACAGCATTCTAATAACCGTAAAACACTACCAGGAATTTCATAACAACACCATGTGCAAAGTTTTGTCTGGCTTTAAGTGTAAAAAATTTCTAGAAGCATATTTTCATTTTAGATTACGGAAAAAAAAACAACCCGTTGCCAAATCTAATTTGCTGCACAGGCTTTGGACAATTTACTCTGTTGTTTCCTTACAATGATAAGAAAGATCATATTATTTTACAATGGCTTCACTATTATGATACACTTAGCCACCTCCTCGCCGGACTGATCGATGCCTTGCATACTTTTACACAAATCTTTTAAGAGATGAAAGCGGTAAATTTGGATATAAAAGCCACTGCATAGAAATCAATTTTACCTAAGGGGATCCTGCCACCCTCATTTCCCCTCTCCCCTCAGGTTTGCGTCCTTGTACAGTTAAGATTAAGATAACTATTACAATCTTCAACCCTAACAATCTACACTGTTCTCTTTACATTTCCTCTGATACTGACAATGAGAATTTGCTTGACAATCAAGAGCCTCCTAAATTGGTGATCATTGCCTTCATTCTCGTTTCATTAATCATTTGATTCAAGGGTGATACCGCCAGTAGAAATAAGGAGCCATTCATTGTTAGGGATAAAAGATTAAATTCACGGCTACAATAAAGAATGAATACGTCAATCAGGACACTATCTAAAACATCTCAATGGGGAACAATTTGCCCTTTCTTGGAGTTTTGAACACTGGAGTCGAGGTTGTAATTCACTCATTCATTCCTGTCTGACTGTACAAAGGGTGGCGGCAAATAGGACAGCTGCGACTGCAAATTAAAAGGAAATATTCAGATGAACTCGAGAAAAACTGGCGTGGGAATGTCGCAATAAATTCTGGCCTACTTAACGTACAAAGTCAAAGTGAAAGTTTACCGATGAAGTAATATCGCTTTAGATAAAAGAGAACATGCATAGAGCGTCGTGAAACCAAAACTGAAATAATCTCAGGACCTAACAAAAGCTTAGGGGACAAAGGAGGATAATGAGGGCGTTAACCGGATTTTGTCGATTTCACCAGACTTATCCCCAGCTGTAGGCGGGAACGGTGGTCGGTTTCTCCGGACTTCCGTACTGTTGATTCTTCACGTAGTTTCCAATCTTTTCTGAAGTTATTTTAATTGCGAAACCAATCGCTGTTTGTCAATAAATCACTCCTGCCCACTGGCGACCAAAGCTCCTTACGAGGGCACGGAGGTTTTTTTATTATAAATGCAAATGAAAACTGCTCAGTGCACTCTCATAGCTGGAGCAGGTCCACACACACCCAATCCAGAATTAAATACCAACACATAGTCAGTGCAGTAGTGGAGTGTTCTTCCATATTTAAGTTTATTCCCAAAAACAGATATAGTGATATTTAAGCATACTTACACGCCGTTCTGTATCATAGCAATAGCACATTCGCGGTGAACCTTGTGTGAGCATGGCAGGATCTGACAACCGCTAAAAGCATCCTGGAAATAAAGAATCGATCAACCAAATAAAAATATAGAAATTTGGATTGTGATCTGCTTCTCTTTCGTCAGATTTCGACTCCAGAAATGCAAGCACCTGACGTCACTAACGCGACAGGTGAATAAAACCAAACTTAGTGCAAGGTTAACTGCTTCGGCTAAACGGCAAAACCTTTTAAAAGATATTTCTTATTCAGCCTTATTACGTAAATTAAGTAACTACCTCTAAACAGATGCAACACTCGTCGTGTCCTGAATTTGCTCGGCAAGAATGTCTTCCTTCCAGCCGTTTGTCCAGACAGACGTTACACACATCACAGTGGAAGGAGCGGTCCTTGTAGATACTGAACGGGAAATAGAAACATCACTTCGCAGGTATTTACTCGAGCACAACATGATTCGTTAGGGAAACAAATTTCGAACTCACTTTCTCTTTCCTTGAATACTTTGCTCTCGCCTTACAGATTGTGCCAGGATTCTTCGTACCTACTGCAACCCAAGTCAATAGCTCTGAAGCAGGTCAATAACTCCCTAACCTTCATTCTTTTGGACAACAAGCATATCATTCAAACAAACGAAGACAAAACTCGTCATGAATTTTGTTTCACCTACCGGCAGATACCACATTTTTCGCAGTGATAAGGAGCTTTATCCTCCCCTGTGAAGTGTTTACATACCCAGCAGAAATATGCTGAGAACCTTGTTTTGCATCTGACACAGGTGTGGGCGTCCTGGTTGATCTTTAAAATCAAACATTCGAAGTTAAATCGGTTACAACCTAAGTGGGAGAACTCTCTTTCCTCTTATGTAAAATTTCAAGTCAATGTCATTCCTATTTACCTCTTGTTGATGGCTACAAACAGAGCACTCAACAGAGCACGCCTCTCTTGCTTTGGAATTATCATTTGGACACCCAGAGTTGTTATGACAACGATGACAAGGAAAGAACTTTCCGCAGCATGAGAACTTGACACGGCAGAGCCGCTGATAATGTTCACACAGCCATTGTCGAACCCCAGCACTTGCCGAGTCTTGCGAAGGTGTTTCTTGTCCACCGCTCGTGGAGTTCCCCTCTACTCTTTCATTTCTGAGTTCCGTTTCTCTTGCTTCCCTCGCTTCCCTTTCTTTTCTTTCACGTGCAAGTTGTTCTTTCCTTGCCCGCTCTTCTTTTCTTTTTTGCTCCGTTTCTTTCATCGATTTTTCTCTTTCTTGTCTTTCTTTCAACGTTTTCTCGACAAGACAGCAAGCTTCAGCCACACGTTGCTCTAGTACGGCCAATGATTCGTCAGCAGATGTATTTGAATTACTGTTTAACAGACCATGACCAGCTCCTGCACTTTCCCCGTCCGGAAGAAATCCCGGAGCGTCATCTTTTCTTTCAAACTGCGATGAGAACGTCGGCCTTTCGGCGAGTACATGTCCATCTGGGAAGATATTTGTCAACGGGAGATTTGCTTTACATCCATCTTCAAGGAAACTTGAAAATTGAGGTAGTCCTAAGGTCTTCGCTGGAACAGTTTTTGTAAAATCACGACATTTAGGAAATTTCGTTGAACTTAGAGAAGTAGGGTGGTACACTTCAGTCATACACCTAGATCTGTTATACTCGGAGTGGGAACCTGCAAGCACTTCTGAATCTTCAAATGGATCACAAGAATCCCAGCGCTCATCAGATGCATTGCACTCATAAGAATGACGTGCGAGGAAACTGGGATCTATTCCGATGTGATTTGTGCCAAAGTCATCCCCACTTGGATCCCTTTGTGAGCTGTGCCCTGACGGAAGATCGCTTCGGCGTCCACCTTTCAAACCAAGATATGTTTTTGTTTTCGAATTAATCCCTTGGGAATCTCCTGGTGTTTTTGGAAGGGCAACAGCTTGGGTATTCCAATCTTTGTCAAAGCCGCAAGCCCCGTTTGTAGTAAGAACATCGGGGTTTTCACGGCTGTCTGCAACCACGTATCCTCCCTGAAAAGAGGCTTTAAGAGTGTCATTCCGTCCACCACTGACTTCATTTGGTGTTTGCTGTATCTTCTGTGAGATGCTGATTCCTTTGTTCTTATCCTTTTGGGGCGCGTTTTCAAGGTGATCATAATTCTTGCCTCTACGCCTTTCTTGACCAGAAATTTTACCTGGTCCGTCTAATTCTTCGTTGCTGTCCCACTTGTTACTGTCTTCTCTAAATGATGGAATATCAGGGCTTACAACTCCATCTGCTGCGTTGCAAGGAAATTCTCGCCAGCCTCGGTCACGGCGCGACTTCAACTGAGGAACCTCTTGAAAGTCTTCGCACAATAATAACCTTGCAAGAGCGATGTTACATTGCACCAAATCCGGGTGATCTAAACCGTAGTCAAAACTTGTCAAAATATTTAATGCTTCTTCAAAGCAACTTTTTGATAACAGGTTTCTTTCCATCAGAAAAAATCTAACACCTTGCCTATAGAGAAACGATGCATGTGTTGGGTGGTTTTTCCCTAATGTTTCTTTGCAAATTGGTATAAAAACGTCGAGGAAAGATGCAAGGACTAAGTTTTTTTCGTTTAAGTGAAAATCAACTAGATTCAATATCATTGCGAACAAGAAGTCCCAATGTAATATTCCATTATATCCGAGAGCAGCTTCAAAATCGGTAAAGAAAAACGAAAATGAAGACATTAGTGACGAAGCAGACGATGGAGACGACGATGTTGATGACGGAGATGATGATGATGACGATGATGAAACTGATGACGACAACGATGATGACGACGACGACGATGATGATGACAACGACGATGATGATGACGACTCTGACCCTGACCCCGATGCTGTCGAAAACGATTTTAACGAAGGCGAGAGTGGTGGTGATAGCGATTTAGGCGAAAGAGAAGGGAATGTCAAGCGCTCTGCTATTTTCTCTGCACGAGTCACATCTCCAATCTTTTGATACGCCAAACAAATTTTTGAAGATATAAATTTCGAGAATATTGCTTCTTCATTGTTCATCCTCTCAGATAATGAATTCAATGTTCTCAGCTCCATGAGTGCTTTGACAGGTTCTCTGAGTTCTATAAACAACTCTGCTCTATTGTAATGTATGGCTGTTACCAAATGTGGGGGAATAACGGGGTCTTTGGCCTTCAGAATAAGACGCTCTTGCAACTTCATTGCAGCAGGGTAGTTCTTCTGACCCTGGTAAGCTAAGCTTAAGTTGGTTTGTATAGCAACAGTGTTTATTTCTGGAGAGTCATTTTTGTTTTTAAATGTTTCAAAAATCTCCAGCGCTCGTTCTAGATAATCCTTAGCCTTGTTCGTAGCTCTCATAATCAGATAAACACAGCCTACATTAGCCTTGGCTACTGCTCTTAAAATATCGATACCTTGCTTGTTATTTTTAGGATATGGCGTGGCATCAAATGTGTAAAGAGAATCACATCGCTGAAATAAGTCTATAGCTATTTTATATTTATGCAGCTTGAGTGCAACAGCACCAAAAACAATAGTAAAGCTAGCATAAAAATGGTCATCCCTATCTGTGATCAGCTTAGGGTTTAACAAAACAGTTCCAAAGAAAGGAGGAGCGGAGCAATAACTCAAACACATCTTTCTACCTCGATCCACCTGCTCCTTCTCGTAATCAGTCGGGTTTCCGAAGCTATCTGGGGTTAGATTCAGGAAGTGCTTAAGCCCAGCTTGTAAAGACTCTGTGGCCGCTTCCACTTTACATTGCTGGAACTGATCCATCGTTTCTTGAAATTGTTCAAATGTGCTGCGTCTAGCCGACTGATTATCATCACATTCCAATTCATCCTCAAGATGGGGTTCTGAACCAGCGTTTTTCGGGATCGTGGGGTCTGTTGCGTCCATCTTTCCATGTCAAATGTATTACTCCTGAAAACAAGGTAAATCTTAAAACCAAAATTCATCCAATTAAGTGTGAACAAATTTTTGATAACAAAGCTGAGTAATGCTATACACCAATACTTTGGTCAGCTCTCTTGCGCGCGTTACTTGCGTTCTCACCGCGGTCCTGCAGCAGGCTGGCATTTCGTCTTTGGTGACTTCCTAATATGTCCATGTGATATTATGAACATGTTGAGAGTCAGGCTGTTTACGAGAGGACCAGGCAGGCGTGATACATGTCATCTCACCGATTTCTTTCAAGCTTTCACAGCTTATAATGGTCACTAAGTTATTCAAGAATCCAAAGTAATTCGGGCTTCCGGCTAATCCCTTGGGTATTAAAAGCCCCCACATCAAATTCCTGGGTAAAAGGTTAAATTAGCTCGAAAATTTCATCGAATCTTTCTCACACCGACAGAATGCGATGGATTGTAATCTTATTATGTCCAATGGCTGTTTGAACCTTAAGGAAATAATTTCCTTAAGTTGGGGTAATTTGACATCACTTCTACCAATTTAGAGCAGTTAATCATTAACTGTGTCACGCAACTTTTCCAAAAACAAAAATTTGGGTTTTTTAATAAAAAAATATCTCCAATGGGCAACATCGTATGTCGACAAACGTACCATCACAGAAAAGACCCATCCTAACACTACGTTTGTGGAAAAAAAAATTTTGGCCTCTGACGTCAATTTTGGCGATTTTTAGTCATGAACCCCTGTTTAATTACCCAATTTCAATTTGAGAATGGGATCACCGAAGCTAGAGTTTGTGGCACTAATATCTAAAAACAATAAATGTATAGCTGCCAAATTAAGAGGTCACTTATCATAGAAATTCTGAAACGCTGACACAATCTATTGGAAAAATGATCCATAAATGTATGTTTAAATCATACATTAAACGTTACAGAATTTATTAAATTAGTAATGGAGAGAAGCACTTATCTAGCAAACCTGGAGATAAATAACTCGTTAAAATGAGTTCTTTTCAACATAGTGAGTGGTCAGATAACAAGCAATGCACTATGAAAGTAAGGTGAGGTATTTTCATTGAAAATTTGATTGGATTTTTTATTCCTTAGAGCAGTGGTAAGTATTCTCATACAAACTCTTATAATTTCAGCATGACTCTTATTTCGCGAGGTGATCATCTCACAGCTGGAGCTTGGGCTGCCTGTGGTTCGATAATAAATAACTTATCAGTCGTTTTGGTGTGTAGCATCGCCGAGTATTTTCAATCGTCTGTTTTGTCACTCTCCCTTCGGCCTCGTCAAAATACCACACAAGTAGTGAAATTAGGGTGCGGGCGCAAAAGGCAAATTTTTGTTTATCTTGCGAAACAATCAGAATGTCACTAACAGCACGAATAGGGAATGGGGAATGGGAAAATAAAAATGTAAATAGAAAATTAAAAGGGAAATTTTTTTTTTTTTTAGTTTTGGTTTTAGATTTTCATTTTTTTTCTCGATATCAAAGTTTTCTAACAAAAATGTTCAAAATTCAAAGAACGAATAAATTGATGACAAGGAAAGAAGTCAGCTTCGGGGAACAGATGATGTTCAAGGACAAACATACGAGCGTATTATCCTTCAAATATTTTGCAGCGCGTGGGGTTTACGAACAGCTCACTGTTTTCGGCATGGAGTGTATTCTTATGGGTGTTGTCTGGTACTACTCTATGAACAAACAGATATTTCTCATTTTATGTAACATTTGCATTATCGTAGTGAACGTAACATTTGAAAATTGGCCAGCATAACTTAGGTGATATCCTCGGATATTCCCCTGTCTTAGCTGGGAAATATTTGTTAACGTGATGCCATAAGACCAGTCGCGCGCGAGCAAAAGTATTGCATGGATCATAATCGAGGACATACCACAAGTGATACTCCGTAATGTTCAAAGTCTAGCTCCCTTACGATAACTCTTCCTTTAAAATCAATTTAAAGTGAGAGAGCGTTTTTTGTTACTTTAAAAGGAGAGGACATGTTTATTTGTTCATGAAATTGTACCAAAGAACACTGAAAAGTGAACATCTCACTCAGTGAATGGTTAGCTGTTGGTTAACTTTTTATTTACCCCCAATTTGCAAAAATATTTAAGGGAAAATAAGTAAATAAACAAATCGCCTCCATTTGGTGCAGAAATACGCTCGTTCGTTCACACTTTAAGATCGAGATTGCTAATGTTTGCGGGAAACCTTTAAAAAATCAGGAGTCGGCTACACACTCGCCACCAATATTCATACAAATTTCCACTTGAAACCTAATAGATTCATTATCTGCTGGACGCGCCTTATGGTCATGAAATTATTCTTTGATATGCTTTGTCAGTTTCGCTGCGGCCGCTAGATTGTAAAGTGTGGCAAGTGCTTCGTCTGATCGAAATTTCTATACTGAGCAAACCTCCATTACTTTCGAAAAATAAAATGAAACCTTCTTCTAAATGGCTATTCAACGGTAGGTTCGTTTGCTCTATGGAGTTTAGCAGTGACTTGGACCCTGAAAAATTCAAGCGCTTTACGGCTAACCCCCGAGAAACTTCCACTTTATTGATTTTTAAGTAAACATTAAAAAGGCCCTTTCATTAATCTAAACAAAGTTATTGTAACACTTAATCACTTGTTTATGAAACGATATAAACATTTGAATTTACAACATTTTTGATGTCATGCATCACTTCTTTCGTTATCACCAATTTATTCTGTTCCTCAAAATTTGCCTATGAACAGATTTTTAAAAAAAGCATGGATATCGATAATCGCCGTTGAAGATTTTCTACTACGGACAATTAACATAAAGTTTCTCAGTTCCAGACCATCCCGGAAATCTGAACGTGTAATAAATTAAAGAAGAAGCTTTAGAGTTGGAGTTAATCAGTAAGGGAATACTGTAAACGTTGTAGCGGCAACGCGTAATTGATTAAAGAAGAAGCTTCCGTGAGCACAATTCTTGGTACCTTCTGTCCAGTTTGCTCATGCAAGCTAGTTTCCTTCAAACGCCCCAACAATTGGCGTTTTTGCGACTAAAGGTTAAAATTTGCCAATTTTTCCGCCTAACGGCTAAACTTTTAGGCCGTTTTATGCCTAACGGTGAACCCGATCGAGAGCCTCTAAGAGGAGTATAACTTATTCAATATTTCCTTACAATCTCGAAATTCATTGCCTATGGTACATCTTCGCGTATTGTTATTATTTATCATTTTGTGGCGAAATAAACTTAATACTTGCTGAAAATGAAGAAAATCACAAAAGCGTCCTCCTCGAATAAGCGGTTACTCTGAAAGTCTAAAAATGTATTAAGCGCCCAGGGCGTTTACTCGAAAAAAAATACGGCAATCCTCGTTTTATGCACATACACGACGTCGATTTAACCACGAACTTAAATGAGAATTCATTGTCGGCGGAAAACTGCAATCCCTTCCTGATAGATTATGCTGATGTTCTGAAATTGACTTTCATTACTGAGAGTTTTGCTAGAACGCAGCTTTTGACAGGCTAACCCCAAACACTTAAAGTAAAGAGTGCTTCATCATGCTTCATGAGTGATAATCACTCAGTGGTTTTATTTTTTCTTAAAAGTGTCCCGTGGACTGGTAACGAATTAGCAGGTGATAACGTAGAAAACTGTCATACTTTCCTCTAGATTTCTCCTACTTTCCGGCTCCACCATAGTTGCCGACGTGTCTTCACAGTTTTCTACGTCACAGCTATGTAATATGATCGTTTTGGCCGCGCGCTTAATGGCGGTACTTTTTGGCCACCTAATCGTACTTTCAATGCACAAAAAATTGGTCAAGAAGAACTCGCTAGGCGCTAAGGTCGATTATTTCTAACTTTAAAAACAGCTATTAACCGGAAAATGCAAAAAAAAATTTCTCGTCACAGGCACTTTAAGACATGATCCATGACAACAAACCCAAACAATTTAAAAATTCAAACATCCCTTTTATAATTTCTTTTTTCACCTGCCGAAATGAGTTAAAGAATTCTAGGTAATTAGAGTTAAAGTGCCCATGACACGAAATTTTTTTGGCGTAAATATTTAGCTTATTATGTGTAAAAACCAATTCCCATAAAAGAAAAATTTCAAAAAACTTAAAACTCGGTTTTTTCGGGCCCTAAAGCGCTTTTATTTTGTCTTAAAAGTGTCCCGTGGACTGGTAACGAATTAGCGGGTGATAACGTAGAAAACTGTGAAACTTTCTTCTAGATTTGTCCTACTTTCCGGCTCCACCATAGTTGCCGACGGCAATTTTAAAAACAGCTATTAACTGGAAAATACAAACAAAATTTCGTGATCTATGACAACAAACCCAAATAAAGACCTAAAATAATTGGTTTCAGTGTGAATCATCAAAATGAAATATTCAAATTTTCACATCACTTCCACAGCAAGCGGTAATACAAATAGAGGTGTTTGTGACTTCCATAAGATAATACTTGACTTTAACGGTGACTGAAGAACGCGTCTACGAAATGTCCACGAACTTGAGCGCAACAATGAATGCAACTCAGCCGTCGAACTGCTATAATCCCATAGCATTGATGATTGGGCACACAATTGCTTACTGCGTAATATTTATTATTTCTGTGGTTGGAAATTCCTTTATTGGAATAATTGTTTACAAGACAAAAACCATGCGAAAACCCATCAACTATCTAATTGTGAACATGGCTATGTCAGACCTACTGTTCCCGATATTCTTGATCCCGAAAACTGTAGTAGAGATACATGACGATGATTGGCCCATTAGAGGCCATCTTGGCGAGGTTTTGTGTAAGCTCGCTCCTTTTTCAGCCGATCTCTCCTCTGCTGTGTCAATTCAGAGCCTTGTGCTCATAGCAGTGGATCGATTTGTAGCTGTGGTATTTCCCCTCCGTTCCCCGCTCTTCAGTTCAAAATTGTATCGCTTCTTTATTCTCGCCACGTGGATCATCGCCATGGCTACATTCATCCCGT